ACTAGAGAGGAATGGATGTGGTTCAGAAGGACTAAGGGGTAATCAGTTACAAAATCTGAAGGTATTTTGGCTGGAGAACTGAACCACAGAACTCAGGAAAGAAAGAATTGTGCTCCTGGCACTCAGTTGTGAAGACCAGCCCTAGAAAAAGCAGTATCACTGCTCATGTGTCACCAAGTTCTATAAAAATTTAATGAACTGTCTACTGTCTTAGGATGAGAGCACTGGGAACTCTGTCCACAAAAGCAAAAAAAAAATGAGTTAATGTAACTTGATAACAAGAACACTGAAATTTTGTGGGTATTTCTATCTAGGTTTATTGTATTCTGTTGGATAGTCATATATGAATAGATTTTTCTCATGAAAATGGATTTGTAACTGTTCAAATTCTAAAGTTACAACTTTGCCAAGTGTTATGTCAGTGTCTATAGATATACTATGGTTAATGTTGTAGGTCAACATGATTTGGAACAATGGGTGCATAGATATTCTGAATGTTTCTGTGAGGGTGTTTTTGGATGAATTTACATTACATCGGTAAGATGAAAGAAAGCACATTGCACTCCCTGATATAGGTGGGCCTCATTCAATCCGTTGAATGCCAGAATATGACTAGGTTAGCATTTGGTTAAATTCCACAAAAGGGATGATTCTTCCTGCGACTACTTTGAACCGGGACATTGGTCTTTTCCTGCTTTCAGTTTCCTAAGGAAACATCCATTTCCTGGGTTGCAAGACTGTTGAGGATTGGACTAGAACTATACCGGCAGCTCTTCTGGGTCTCCAGCTTGTGGACTACTGTCCTTGGGACTTGCTCATCTCCACAATAGCATCAGCCAATTCGTACAATAACTTAATCATGCTCTGTATATACAGACAGGTATACATACATGCATGTGCAGTCTATTGATATAACTTTTGGAGAACTCTAATTAATATAAGTAGAAAGATACCAAACATGATGAAGCAAATGCAGTTGCCTTTTTTTTTTTTTTTCAGAGCCAGAGGTAAGCTAAGAGCTCACCTATCCCTTCCTCTTGACCTCACTGATAAAGGTCCAAGGCACCCTGCCCTTTCTGAATTCTTGGGTCCAGTCAAGGTCACCTGACACCTCTACATCCCTCACTCCACGATGTACTTCTTCAGAGAAGAAGACATCTCACCTTGGAAAACAAAAAGTGAGAAAGAAAAAGACAAACACATGTATTTCAGCACTGATGAGGAATTCTTTATCAGAAGCAAGAAACGATATGCAGAAAAATGAGTCATGTGGGCCATTCCTCAGTCCCCAGGCATGCAAAGAAGATGATAATAGTGCTGTTTTCAGACCATGATGAAAAACTGTGGTGTCTTACAGTGATTATTTTCACTAATCAGTGGTTAATTAATACTTTAAACAGAAATCTTTGCTGCAGGAAATCTAAGAGTTTTATAGCAACACAAGGATTTAAAATTTAATCTATGCTTCTGTTTGACTTGATAGGAAAGGTGGCAGCATCCAAGTCAGCTTTGTGCACATGTACCAAGAAAGGTGTAGGAAGGAGCCTACTCATATTATTCTTACTGAATATTTACAGAGGATAAATGATCACCTGAGGATAAAACACTGACTTGTTGCCAGCGAGTTTATTGTCCCAAGAGTTAGAGACATGGGGCAAAGGAGAGGAAGGAAGAGCAGACCGCACACACACTCACACACAGACTTAGTATAGCTATTAGTTTAGCTCAGCTGTGCATAAAAGTGCCCACAGGAGTGTAAGGAAATCCACTCACAGATGCTATCATGACTAGAGTGTAGACACTCCTTCCAGAGGGTCATGCAGAGAACCAGGAGACCTTTGGGTGACCACTGGAATTCAGGCCATTTGTTCTTCAGCCTATGAACCCTGATGCTGATACTCTCATTATCCAACATTCCCATTCTCTAAGGAGAAAACAGTTGCCCTGTTCTTTCCAAAGATAAGCCCGGGCCTGCCAAAGGGGTGGGGGCAGGTTCCCAAGGTCCACCAGGTGCCTCACATAGCTGTGTCATTTCAAGAGCTTGCCATCTGTCCTAGGCTGCAGGGGCTGGTGCCGTGAGGCAACCAACTTCACACCTCTTCTACTCTTTCCTCCAACTGTTGTGGAAGTTCCAGCCCTCTCCTTCAGTCTCCCTTTTCTCACCTGGATGCCTGGACTAGTTGATGTATTTAGTGAAACTGTGCTTTCTCAAAAGACAAGAAAGGTTGGTCTTCTAAGAATCCTGCAAATCCCTTGAAGTAGGAAACCCAAAGAAATTGGCTATCTGCCTTCTGCAAAAAGGGGGCTAAGGGGTGGGCTAGAGCACTGAGATCAGGAAACAAATTACTCTCTTGCTAAACACTCACCACAATGCTTTGCCTTCACCTCCCACAAAGTCATATCAGAGAACAGTAAAAGCATGTTATGATTTCAGCTGCACTTAGATTCAATCTACTCTTGGACAGTGAGAGAGCAGGGAGGAAGCGCTCTTGGCTAAGTAGGCTAAAATACAGAGCTGGCTCTAATACTCAAAATAATATAACAACTAACACTATGTAGCAGGCATTGCTCTGATGTTTTGCTTGCATTATCCCTTTAGTCCTCACAAAATCTTTAGGTAGTCGGTACTATGGCTCCAATTCCTCATTTAAAACCTTTGAAATAAGCTGTTTCAGAATTCCAAATATTTTGGATTTTAGCAAATCCAAAGCAAAACATGTAACTTATATAATGCCCCAACAGGCTCTAAAGCAGATCTCATACAAATTCATTATTATACTTTCTTTTTTGAAAAATATATTTATTTATGCACAGAGAACTGGGGTACAGGCCAGAGTGCAGGGGCGGTAAGAGGATTCACCAGAGGCAGAGTGGGGAGCAGAACAGGCAGACTGACGAAGTACACTGCTGAGGGGAGCAGCGCTGAGACAGGAGAGGTCTGCCGCACCATGTGGTCACCTCTGGGGCAAGGGATACAATTCGCACTGAAGTAGCTGCAGCCAGCTTGTAGCGTTGGGCTTTAACCCGCTGTGCCAACAGAGAGGGCCTAGGGGCCCCGTTAGTATACTTTCAATCAAACAAATAAACAAGGTTGTCCAAGTAAGATTATAAATACCAATAGCTTTACATCAGTTTAGACCTGGATTGAACTAAGAAAAGTTTTTGCATCTCAGAACATTTTAGATATTGGAAACATATTATATTCCCCATTTTACAGACAAAGACAGTGAGGCACAGAAATATTAGGTAACTTTGCCCAAGATCACATAGCTAAGTAGTAATGGTGTTTACTGTTTCAGAAAGCCCCTAATGACCACTTTCTCTACCAGAAGCCCACCTACACTCTTCCCACCCACAGCAGTGGGCACCCTTGTGTATGATCTCCCTGCCACCCCCCACACTGCCTCCAACTTCTCTGATGGTCGTTTTCTCCTGCCTGTGATATGGTTTAAAATAGTGGAAAAGCAGTGGAGTGTGACTTATCCTAGGTCCTCCTAACAGGCCCAAAGCAACCCTCCTCTGCTGTCCCTGGACAACTGTTAACAGTCTCTTCAACCTGAATGATGGCAAGAATTCAACAAAAACCAGAGTATTTTTTTCCACATTTCTTTCTGATATTTTTCTAAGCTCTCATCATTCTAAGCTCTCGTCATTAATGACGCAATTCTGTACTGCACTGATTTTTAAAAAGTTACCCTTTGCCCCTCCAGCCCCATGATTACTCCCTCCCTACATGTCCCCGGTTTGAGTATTCTCACGCTTCACCACCGCACAGCTCCCGACTCCGGAATTCCGGAATTGGGGGTGAGGCAGTTATAGCTTTGGTAGCCCCTTCCCAGCTGTCTGTAGGAGTCAGCCCCTGCGGTGGTGGTAATAGCCTTACAGGAAAAGCTTGCAGCTAGCTATCATCCGCGCAGTACGCCAGGAGAGGGCGCGGCGCGCCCGTCTTTTCCTTCTGGCTTTAGGGTTCCACGGTTCCCCGCCCCATCATCCCCACTTGGCCTAGGATTTCCTCTCTACCAGTGAGCAGCAGGGCTGCGCAACCAGGTGTTGCTCTTTCCCATAGTTTCGAGCAGCGTTACCCTTCATTTGTAAATCAAATTCTTGGCCAGTGTGACGTCCTTTTTGGTCTTGGGCACAGAACAGCTCCCAGATTCGCCCTCCCCCTGAATATTTGGGACCTGCCCACTAAGGACCTTGCCCTCGTTTCCAAGTTCTTGTCTTGCGGGAAGGTCCTGAACGGTGGGCACAGGCTGCGTCACCTTGGCCGAGACTCTGACCTCGCGATAAGACACGGACTGGGTCCTATGTCTGCGTGCTCGCTCTTAAGGTGTTTGGAATGCAGAATAGGGAGTTTCACCGTTCTTCCTCATCTTGCGTCCTCACTTTTAGTTCAACTGTCTGATCCCGGACTCCGGCACGGCAGATCAGTAGTTTCCTTACAGCAGCGAAGACAGCTTCCCAGATTCAATCCAGATCAGCCCAGTAATCCCACCTGCCAGGGTCACCTGAAGCACCCAGGTTGCGAGAGAGGGCCTGGATTCTGAAAACAAGAGACCAAGAAGCATCCTGCAGCCTTTTCCTTTGCAATTACAGGTTTGTTTTTAGGTCCAATGAGTGGAAAGTCATGCACGCTCAGTTAGCTATAAACGGACAGAAGGGACATAGATGTTTGGGACGGTCCTCTCTTCCCGTGGGGCACAGCGACCCCTGTGGTTTCTGGCCTTCCATACAAACCCCAACAGTTCCTTTAAGGAACCACAGGGAAGACCGACTCCACAAACTTCGTTTGGTTAGCAACTTGTTAAACAACGCAGTCCGCACGGCGCGAGCCGCGAGGCTGGTATGCTGCCGGAGGGCGCTAGGGGACCAGGGGTGCAGCCTGCAGGCGAGCAGGGCGTTTGGGGCGGGATTGGTGAAGAAGCGGGGCCCTCGGCTGCCCCGTGGGGGCGGGGCCTGTCGAGGGCGGGGACTGTCGAGGGGTGGGGCCCGGGATTTCCCCCGCGGTGGCTGAGGGGCCCGCGCTGCGGTCAGCTGAGCGGCGCTGGGCGGGGTCGTGAGGCCGAACGTCAGCCCCTGGCTCCCCGAACCCCCGCTGGTACCTAGGTCCGCGTCTGCATCCGGGTCCGGAGCCCTCCCCCAGCGGGCACGATGCCGAGGAAGCAGTGACCGGGAGAGAGGCCGAGGCGCTGGCGCCGGGTGAGCTGGGGCAGGGGGCGGACAGAGGATCAGCGAGGTGGGTGGCTCCTTCTCCGCCCTGGCAGCTGTTTCCTCAGCCTTGGGACCCCGGCCCTGTTGGGTGTAAGTGGCGAGCAGTAGGGCATTCCCGCCCCGAGAGAGCTTCCAGGCCCTGGCCGGTCTGACCGGGAAAAGGGCAACTGAACTGCCATCCTTAAGTGCCCTTCCCCCCGTTTTTACCGGCCTGGCTGGCCGCCTCTTCTAGAGGTTATGAAGGTGTTTTAAGGTTGACAATCTTCCCGCAGACTAGGTATGATTACACAGCCAGTTACTCATTGTGATTAAAGATACATACCACTTTGGAACACATAAAAACTATTCTAGTTTTATGAGGTGGCCCAGGGACACTAAGAAGATAATGACCTCTCTCCTAGGCAGTGGGATTACTGAACAGCGGAAAGGAATCTTCATAAACCGTTGTATCCAAGAGAGCATGGATGTATGTGTGTTTGTACAGAGACAGAGAATATGAATATTTGATGAAGCTGAGAATACCTATTCCCCCCCCACAAAACCCCCCAATTGTTTGTATTATTAGAAATGTATAGGCTGAAGGCAGTCAATATCACTAATCCAGGTTCTGGTCTGGCCTCCTCCACCTGGAAAACTGAGGGGTGGCAATGTGTGCTATACAACTGTTTAAGGATGAAATAAAAAATGAAAGCCAGGACACAGTAGGGCAGTGCTAAGACATCAAAAGCCTCCAGTCTGGTTGAGCAGGCAGCACTGTAGAAGATCCCCACACCTCCTTTGTACAGGCAAAGGGAAGTTAGGGTACCCTGGCTATCTCTCAGGACACCCAGTTTGTAGTGGGCTGAAGTGGATGAGGAGCAAAGACCAAGGCCACAGCCAGGACAAGACAAGTGAATGTGTAAAGTGGCTGGTCAAGAGAAAGTAAGGATTGGAGTCTTGGGGTGATGGTATGATCAGTTTTTCTATTGGCCCAATTTTAGTGATTATTTATAAATTAAATGCCACATAAAAGTAGCACCATTTTTTTCTAACTCTATGCTACAGAGCCCAAGCAAGTCACCCAAGAAACAAAACTTATCTTGAGAGAAACTAATGGCTATGTGACCTTCCCATGAAACGTCCCTCTTTAAGTTGAAATGTGTGGGTATTCTATTCTCAAAGCCCTGCTTTTTCTGAATTTTATAGACTTTAACTATTTGTGTTCTTTGGAATCTATAGAATAGTCCAAAGGAAAAGGAGAAAAAAGTTCTTTTTACAGAATAAAATTATTTCATTTAGGAAAAGAATGTTTAAAATATTTTCATTGTTTTCAGATACCTTTGCAGTAATATAAGCCACGAATTTTCAAAATAAATTTTAAAGATTGAATTCAAGAACCTGAAATGAATGCCATAGAACTATAGAAAAACTCACAATCCATGTTGAGTTTGTTACCAAAATAGCACAAAGTGTTTTACAAGTGTTAGCCCAAATACCATGCAACACTGAATTTTCATTTCATTTCAACAAACATTTACTGAGAGCCTGTTGTGTACCCAAATCTAGGAAGAACAAAACAGACATTAAGTATGACAGACTGGCATGGACCAATTACAGTACTTTGCAAAAAAGAAAAAAGCAGGGGGTTGGGGATGGGGTGCTAAAAAGGAAGAATACACAAAGTGCTGTTAGTTGCTCCTAGGATAGCACAGCCCATTTTACACAGGACATCTCTTTAAACAGGCAAGTGCATATTTGCTAGAGCAAAATGGAGCTGAGACATTTCAGGCAGAGGTCAGAACAGAAACCCAGGCTCAGAAACAGAAGAATGAGGGTAACCATTTAGCTCCCTGGACAGGAGTGGTGTGGTGACAGGTGATAATATGGGTGAGTAAGTGGGGTATAGACCCTGAAAGCTCTATTGGTCTCACTCTGAACCTTGAACTCTGTCTTTTAAAAGAAGACTTATAAGCAGCCGATTGACCTTGTAGGAGGAAGGAACTATAAGGGGAGCACATCTCAAATGGAATGAGAAGCAGACCAAGTAGGAGGTTATGAACATTTATTTAGCTAGTATATTATTGAATCAACCCATTTGTTAGGTAATTTCTGGGTGCTGGGGACACAGACAAAATAGAAAAAACTGTTGTACTTTGTAAAATCCAAAAAAAGAAAGACCTGTACTAAGCTGTTGGCTCTCGAGAAAGTGGAAGTGACAGCATTTGGTCACCCAGTAGAGCTGGTGGAAAAGAGAATAGGAAGAGTCAAGCATAACTCCACGGTTCCTGACTTGGACTTTGAGGACAAATCTAGTTTCATTTTCTGCATAATAGAAAATTCCCAAATCAAAATACTGTTTCTGGCATATAAGAGGAGATTTCTTTTACCCCTTAGTAAGATTCATACACTCTTCCTTTTTGCAAGATAGTGGTGGCAATCTAGGAGTTTTATTTAGCACCCTTGTAAATGCAAGTCAGAATTTGCCAATAACTACTATTATTTGAGCAAGAAATAGATTTTTACTGCTTAAAACTAATTTTTCCATGTAGGAATTCAATCTACTCATACTTAATCAGTAAATTTGGAAAATCAGACACATTATGGTAAGGGTCTGGGTTTCTTCTGTATTGTGCCCACTGGCCCAATGCCCAGTGAGGAGAAGCAGATATAAAGTCAACTTCTGTCCAACAAAAATGACTTCTGGTAGGCAGTCATTCTGTAATGACATGGCAGTTACCTGCTAAGGTCACTGTTCATATTATCTGTCACTGAAGCATTCACATGTACTTGTATGACCATCTGCATGGAAACCAGACAGCACATTCTCGCATTGAATAAGAAGTTGTATTAGATCATTTTTAAGGCCAACTCAGGAATGAGACTTAAGCTCATGTTTACAAAGTGAAGTTACTGCTATAATTACTTGACCTTTGAAAGTAAAACTCTGTGTGTGTGTGTGTGTGTGTGTGTGTGTATAATCAGGAACTCAAACAGCATATCTGGGAATAAAGTCTAGGAAATGTTGCTTTTGATCTTTACCTTCCAGGTAGTTCTTCATTCTCATACTAAGTTAATTCACTTTTAAATATCACCTTGGCTTAGAAATGATATATTTTAGATATAGATTAGTTGGATTTTTATAAGAAATTCTCTCATTAGCTATATCCTTGAATAAGTATATGGCTTAGTGCCAACTTCTATAACCTTTGAAGATATATACCAGGATTTACAATGCATTTCTGTATTTGCCCAATTGAAAATAGCTCAAGGTGATATCAAGAACTTAAGAGAATTCAACTTTCTCTACCTGGCCTAGTACCAATAGACAAATGCACTGTACTGTGATAACTCATAATCATGTTCCCTAAATAGTCTGAAATTATACAGTGCTCTTTAAGACTACAAAAATCAATAAAATTGCTTTTAATAAAATTTTGATTAGTATTGACATGCCTTTTTCTGGCATAAATGCTAACTTCTAGCTATGAATTTGAATTAGCAAGTGATTTTTTCTTAATATTATAAGGCAGACTTTGTTACCAAGCTGTATGTGTTATTGAAAGAGGGTGGCATGGTCATAAAGGTGCCAGAGTGATCTTGCTAGAAACTTAGAAATACTTTTCAAATCATTTTTTTAGCTGAAAGCAACAGAAGTGATCATTACTTGCTAGACTTGTCAGTAAGTCATTACAAAAGGCCATGTGATTTTTCAAGGTTTCACAACTGGTTAGTAGCACTCAGTGCTTTTCTATAGTCCCCCTTAACGTAGCCCAGCTTTTCCCCCCTTATAAATTCTGGCTACATGGGGCCTCCCTGTGCCCTAGGGATTACATCTAAGTGCTGTAACCACTATGGCCTGAGTTTGATCCCTGGCCAGGAGCTGACCCACATATGGTGCAACACACCTCTCCTGTCTTACCCACTGC